TGGAACAACTTTAAATTATGGTAGTGTACAATTCTTTTAGTGTATGATGGTCAGTTTTTCCTCTGTGACTATTACAAAGTCGGTAAGTGTATGATGCCCAGAATTTAAAAAATCTGTTCTGATTTTATTCCAACCTTTAAGTGAAGAAAGAAAAAGAACTTTGTGTTTTGACTGTAACTGGTCTAAAACAGTTCTTGTTTAGACCAATTCATAAGAATGGAATTATAGAAGGCTGCTTTTGGATAACTTTTAAGATGCTTTGACATGGTTTGACCTCAGGGATTCTACATACAATGCAGATACAATTTTTTCTCAATACAAATAAAGCTTTAAATATATCTTCTCTTGTTTTCTCCCTCTTACTTTCAGATTGAGCAGGAAGCAGATGTTACTCCTCCTGGTACTGTGGCAAAGTGGAAGCTCAAACAGTTAATGGACTGGACTGGTCTGGTCTGAACTATGCTGCTGTAAATGAACTGTTACCTTTACACCTCATCCTAAAGCTGAACGTCTGTGATTATTCCAGTGAGGCTACTTTAATATTCTCCTGTTTTTACCATCTGCACCATTTTTCAGGAACTGTGAAGCTGCTGCTCTGTTGGTAACAAGAGTCATGAAACGTACATGCCACTTGTATGTTTGAATCTTTATTATTGTTGTTGATGTGAACACTTTGTTTTTTCGTTTGGTTAAATTCGGAACAATGATTGGAATATAGTTTACCCTGAAATCTGTAATCTTTATTTACCTGACCTAAACATCTGTAAGGTTTTTTTTTTTACCTGTCGTACGAATAGCTATGTTTGTGGTATTTTAGTAATTTTAAATGATGACTAAAAGATTTCAACAAGTCCTCTCTCAGGAAAAGACTTGTATTGATGTACGCAATTCAGAACAGATAAACAATTATTATTAATTATTAAGAATGATTTTTTTTTCCTTCAAAATTGAATGTTCTCATATGACCAATCCAAAGCCTTACTCTATGTCTGCAAAATTGTGACTACTTATCTGAACCTAAACAATTATAAAATGATCAGACATATAAGATATGTATTGTATTCACTCTATTTTTTCTAAATATTTAGTTTATTAAATAATTACATAGTAAGTCGCAGAAGTGGTTATTGCACATGATATTTAATAACTACACAAGTATATATTATATTTATGACCTAATATGGTCAGTCTTTCACTCTTATGTTTCCTCAGATTCATTGTCACTTTCTCACCTTGCAACATAAAACATGGCCAGTCCCTTTTCCTCTGCCTCAAGTCATATTTAACAGTGACTACTGAGTGAATTAAGGGATGCACGGAAATATTGACTGCAGAAAATCTGGTCCAAAAATGTCTGTACCATGTTTATTTGGAATAGAGTTAGTTTGAAGAAAATATTACATTGATCAATACTGACACATGCATAAATACACTGTGGAGCTGCATTATACATTGTATTTAAATATTTTAAAGTTTTGGAAACCAATATCTTATTGTAAAGTCATACCAATCGAAGGAAGTTAGAGTAATCACTTAAACAGTATTATTAACAAAATTGATAGTTATTCCAAATGTGAATAAAAAAGTTATTCACATTAGTGGATCCAGAATTTGGACAAGAATTTCTGTTCATTTTAGTGCAGCATTACTAGACAACAGTCTTAATCAGCTTGCATTGGCTCTGTCTTGATATGTGGCAGTGATGTCTCATTCTAACCCAATCTCATGAAAGTGCATATAAATAGTACGCCAAATAAAAATGAAAACTCGTGGTATTGATATGCAAAAATTGACTTTGGCGTGTATAAGCTATGCGATGGGTAGGATTAGGGTTGTGGGGTAGATGCACATCATATGCAGTGTTGGGGGTAACGCATTACAAGTAACGCGAGTTACGTAATCAGATTACTTTTTTCTAGTAACTAGTAAAGTAACGCATTACTTTTTAATTTACAAGAAAATATCTGAGTTACTTTTTCAAATAAGTAACGCCAGTTACTTTTTTTTTCCATTTATTGATTGAAAGCTCTCCTGTCCCCTTGTTGCGAGAAATCGGGAGTAAGATGTTACGTTACTTCTAGAATAAATGTGAACATGCATTAATTCATCTCTCACTCACTCACAAAAAAAAATAATAATCTGATTTAGTTTTCCTCAAAATTAATAAAAACAGTTAAAAGCAACTCAGAATATGACTCAAAGCTGCAATAATTAAATATGTTAAATAATACAAATATCCTTTATGTATTTAATCCCATTTATTTGCTGCTGACCTTCAGTGATCCAATTCAACCATACTAATAAGCAAAAATTACTCTAGACAAACATTTGTAGACAAACATTCTTTTTTTATCGCTGAAGTGTGTTGAAATTTCTTCTTCTGCATTCTACTGTACGGACGTAAATTTACTTTCCCTTCAGCCTGAGGCTTATTCATTTCACTTTTGGTGTGAAAAGGCTTTTATATTTGCCAAAAATAGAACTTTTTTATTTTAAAAACAAACAAGCAAGCCCTGTCCAGATTTAAAAAGAAACATAACGCATTACTGTCCATAAAAAGTAACTAAGTAACGTAATTAGTTACTTTTTATGGAGTAACGCAACATTGTAACACATTACTTTTAAAAGTAACTTTCCCCAACACTGAGAGTAGATGTCTGCATGAATAAATTATAAACATGTATTTATACTTATAATGTGGTCTGAAGATGTTTGTATTAAGCAAACTTCACAAATTTTTTTCATGGCCATATCTGTAATGAAAAAAAAATTAAAGGTGTGGTTTGATTTCAACTGCCAATATTCATCCCGCACACAATAATTTAAGTGATTCAGTCTTATTTACAAAACAAATTGTTCTGGATGTTGAATAGCCTTTCCAAGAATTTCCAAGAATTTGTAAGGCTCAGCCAGTTTATAGGCTGTACAAGGAAATAATCTAGGTTATTAATGCAAGCACCTTTACTAGTTAGGCCCTTCCCAATAAAAACACACCTTCAGTGCAGGTTTCTGAAATGACTCATTCTTCACAAAGCCCTTAAACAAAGCCATTGACGCTTTCAAGAACTGAAGTGGATCATAAAGGCCTTGTTAAACAATAAATCTGCAGTCCTATAGTGTACAAAAGCACTCTTATTCTTGACGGATGAGGCTGCTAAACTAAAATCACACCAAAAGAGTCGCTTTAGAAAGGAAAGTGATGCTTTAGAAAGGAAACAAACGAGTCTTAACATCAAGTGAATATCAATAACGGAACGGCTGTCAAAAAAAAAAAAAATTCTACCAAAACAGGTTTAAATACTTCACTGAAAAGCCTGGTTTTGGGAATATGTAGGGTGTCTTTACTGCCTTATGGTTTGAAATAAATAAGGGAACAATAAATTAATCAACAGAACATTGCTTCTAGATATTACCTACGTATTATAAGCATTATGAGAAGTATTTGCTTTCATAACAATCTAAGTTTTATCTGTCTTATTGACTTAAAAAGCCAGTTTATTTGACTTTTTTTTTATTTAAAACAGGCAGTTAAAATACATTTTAGATCACAATGTAACTGGTAACAACTAAATGTTACTTAACAGGAAGATACACAATTTTCACTCAATACTTTCCCCCAGTTTCAATATTTTCTATGTACTTTTTACACCATTTTTACATAGACATGAGTCATGACTAAATTTCACAATCCAGTGAAGCAGGATAATATGTGAATCTATGGATAATAAAAATATTTCAAACAATATTAACGACTCACCCAAACATTCTGGTTCTCTATTTAATCAATTAATACATACATTCTTACATCAAATCCACACCAACACAACACATGAAAAAATTACTATTGAATATAATGGCACACAATTATTTTTGTATTTCAACATACTGGCCCGTGCATTTTGATTAATAAAATTTTTGCAATCGGCAAAATTATAAAATATTTGAAGTCCAATTTAGCAATGCTGTGGTGAGAATCCGGAATAAACTATGGACCCACATGACAACAATTAAATGTAATACAACATTAATCAACAGAATGGATTATGACAATCATTTTGTTTTAAGATTGTGATGTTAGGTTACTTTATAATGGAAATCGGGAGTAAGATGTTACTTTAGTTCTAGAATAAATGTGAACATGTTTTAATTCATCTCACTCAAAAATGTTTTTTTTTCAGATTTAGTTTTCCTCAAAATTAATAAAAACAGTTAAACGCAACTCAGAATATGACTCAAAGCTGCAATAATTAAATATGTTAAATAATACAAATATCCTTTATGGATTTAATCCCATTTTATTAACCAATTTGCTGCTGACCTTCAGTGATCCAATTCAACCGTACTAATAATTTCTTCTTCTTTTTTTTATTGCTGAAGAGTGTTGAACTGTCTTCTTCTGTGTTCTACTGTACAGACGTGAATTTACATTTCCTTCAGCCTGAGGCTTTTGGTGTGAAAGGGCTTTTACATTTGCCAAAAATATAACTTTTTATATTAAAAGCAAACAAGCAAGCCCAGCCCAGATTTAAAAAGTAACGCAAAAGTAACGTAACGCATTACTTTCAATAAAAAGTAACTAAGTACCGTAATTAGTTACTTTTTTAGGAAGTAACGCAATATTGTAATGCATTACTTTTAAAAGTAACTTTCCCCAACACTGATCATATGTACGCAAAAACTGCGTATCATATGCACGCCAATAAATTTAGTATCATATGCACACGAAAACTGCGTATTATATGCACGCCAAACACGTGCGTAGCATATACACGCCAAAGTCCATTTTTGCGTATCAATACCACAAGTTTTTGTTTTTGTTTTTATTTGGCATACTATTTATACGCATTTTCATGAGACCGGGATCCTCATTCAACTAGATTGTAACACATGAAGCATCTGAATGTAGAGCACAAAACCCACTTAAATGAGAGATTAGCGGGGCAGAAAGAAAATGATCACAACAGGGAGTAATTTTTAGCCACTGTCTGCTTTTCCCTGAATGTTGTGAACTAAATAAAAGCTGTAATGTGCTTAGCATTTTCATAACATTTAAAAATACTCTTCATCCAACGCAATATACTAGTGTCTTATATTAAAATACTAAGCAAGTAAGCTGCTAAGAAAATAAACAATAAGCATTGCATTGGTGAAACATGTTTTGTTCATATCTTAATAAATCCCTTATCTAAAAACACATGAATAGCACTGACATAGATGTGTTGATAGTATTTTTATTTGATGTTTAAAGCCCTGAAAAAGAGTGACACATGACTCCATGCAACATTCTTGAGTAATTTCTCGAGGTAATGGTACATATTCTACTTGATTCTTGGGAAGATCTTGCTTCTTAGGTAGCTTTCATTCACCTTTTCTATATGCAATACTTACAAGTCAGATTAGTTTACAAAGTGGAACCAAATGTATAAATATTATGTTAATATATTTGTTAAAAAATATTCAGAGATATTGAATTTATGCTGTTTGTACATTTCTTTCTGCCAACTATAAAAACTTATTTTATTTTGCTTTTTGAAACTAAAAATGTATATTCAACAGTGTTCTTGAAGATCTTGAGTATAAGTATAAAAATAAATATATCTATGGTTTGTACGTATCAAAGGGTTAATATATTTTTAATATTTGCCAGGTTTAATTGAACAAGCTGTCTTCCATTGTACAAATGTCACATACCGTTCATTGTTATGCTGTTGAGAGATCATTTAATATATCCTTGATGAATATTGCTTTTGTTTGTGTTGCGAAAGATAGTCACATGCAATAATACAAATAAAATCATTATTTAATGAAAATAAAATAACATTTTACTGCTTCTTATTTCCTTTGACAACAAATGTGAAATAATAATAATAAAAAAATGACTCAAAAGTATTACATAAACAAACACAATGGTTTGCCAAAATTCCCACCTTACTGACACTGTGTCCTAAGCTTGAGGGCAATAGAGGAAGGAACACAAAGTTCATTCATAAACAATTGTACAGATTACTTCCTGTTGAATGAGCAGGACAGAGGCAAGTGTTTTCCTGTGCTTCCCAGGCTCTCATTGACAGAACAGGATGCTAACAAATAACAGTATTCCAATTTGTGCTGTGAGGTCAAGTCCAACTCCACATGACTCCTTTTCTCAGTTATTGTCTGCAGGAAGCTAATAGATTTGTAAGACATCCATCCTGCTTTTTCTGTACGTCACTGTTACGGGGCTGACAAGACGTGAGACGTGCGGATCCATATGCAAGCTTTATTCAGCAGAGAGGTCAGAAACACAGGCAGGGTCGAACAAATGGCAAACAGGTATATGGCGGGCAAGACACAAGAATAATCCTAGGGCTAGCGAAGGTCGACGAACGGCGAACAGAATCAAAAGGGGCAAGACTAAAGGGGTAAATCCAGGAAAACAGGCGAAGATCAGAAACCGAGAAAACAGGCAAGGTTAGGCTAGGTTAGGCTAGGCTAGGCTAGGCTAGGCTAGGCTAGGCTAGGCTAGGCTGTAGCTATCAACTGATAAGCGCTAAACAATACTCGGCAGAGGGAAGGGATAAGAGTGAGTGTTAAATAGGGAGTGAGTAATATGAAACAGCTGTGTGCAATCAGTGCTGTGCAATCAGTG